GAAAGACAAACAGAAGAGTTTCTAGTCTGTGACTGGAAAAACTAACATGACTCTTGGATTTATAACCTTGTGCAGCATTGATGACATTGAAGTAATTTCATCCTGTTCTGGCCACTTTTCAACAAGAAACAGAAAACTTGAAGATGATTCAGAGAAGAGCCATGGAGTGATTTGAAGCTTGGAAAGCCTGCCTCACAGTGAGAGACTTAAGGAGCTCAATTTATTTATCTTTCTGAAAAGAAGATAAAAGGTATTTTGTTCATGATATCGAAGTACTTACATCAAGAGAAGATTTCTGGCAGGATAAAGTTCCTTAATCTAGCAGACAAGTCATGACAAGAGCCTGTGATTGGAAGCTGAAACCAGATAATGTCAAATGGAAAAAGAAGTGCAGTCTGCAGCTGGGGCAGTCTTTAGTCATTTGAACAAGTTACTGAGGAAAGTGATGGCTGTAAAGCCATGTGCATTGTCCTGTAAGATCAGATCTCCTTCAAAAGATGTGGTCTAATTCACTTGTTAGTTACAGGATCCAATGGTGGAATTACAGAGTGAAATTCTCTGGTTCATGTTAGACAGAAGGTTGGATTGGTGATCACAATGGTCCCTTCAAGTTTCACTGCTTGTTTGAAGGAGAAAGTTTGATGGAGATGCTCTGCAGCGCCCTTCCCTCTGTACCATCGTCTGCCTCCCAAACCTGCCTTACAGCTGCATCAGCCTTCCTTCCTCTCCCTCTGCCACGACGCTGTTCTCCTTTCACTCCTGGGCTGCAGCATTAAAGGAATTCTGTACTTTCCTTTTTTTTTCATCCTTTGAGCATTCCTCAGAAATGAACATTGTAAAAGCACCCTATAAAACCAACAGGGTTTTTTTGTTTAGTGAAATATTATTCATTGGACAATCTTTTCCCTTTGCCAGAGAAACTGTTGGGATAAAAGACCATACACTTTAAAGCTTTGTTAAATACCCAATTAAATTATTCACTACAAAACCAATTCCAGGTTCTTTTCAATTCTTGTGAAAATAATAACAATAATTCTAGGAGAAAAAGAATTAAGGAGAGCTTGCTTCAATACTGTCAGCCTGTGGCATGGTTTTGTTTTACGGACATAAGATAATCTTTTGTGCCTAGAAACTGGAAAGGCTTCATGATAAAAGCCAGATGTGATTGCGCTGGGAGAGTAGGCTGAATGTTTCAGTGCAGCAGTCTGGGGAATCGGGCGGATGCTCACAGCATATTTAACACATCGTAAGGTGCACTTCAGAAGTGAATAGGTGAAGGAACCCAAGGGGAAGGCTTTATGTTGTAAAATGAGTATAGGTACAGAGAATACTCATGCATGTGCAAAGTGTTGAACTCAGCTTTCACTGAAATCAGTAGCAGCTTTGCCAATAAAGTGGGGAAACAATGGGTTTTTTCCCAAGATCTGAAAAGGAACTAGAGCTCTATCCCCATATATTATTATTCGCATCTACTGTTTTTATGTCTTCTGCTGACTCCAAATTCCCTGTGGTCCCAGCTTTGACAGCCTGTGTAAAGGGAGTTGGTGGTGCAATGCATTGAATGAGTCAGTGAGCACGGATTGATTTCTGACCTGTATAAATCTCTTCAAATGTTTGTTTTTCAGAGCCTAACTTTATTGCTGCATACGACATCGGTTTGTTCACCTACTTCTTCTTCCGTGAGAATGCGGTAGAACATGACTGTGGGAAAACAGTGTATTCTCGTGTGGCAAGGGTTTGCAAAAATGATATTGGAGGGAGATTTTTGCTGGAGGACACATGGACAACTTTCATGAAGGCCAGGCTGAACTGCTCCCGTGCTGGAGAAATCCCTTTCTATTATAATGAATTGCAAAGCACCTTCTACCTTCCTGAGCAAGATCTGATCTATGGTGTCTTCACTACTAATGTGTAAGTTGCACTGGTTTTACTGCCCTTCTTCTGTCCCCAGCAGTCTGAGACTGACAATATTCTGATTTCTTAGGCAGTCTGAAGATTCATTTTTGAAAGTTCCTTTGATTAACGTGAAGGAATATACAGATCTGTGTTATCCGTCATGGCAAACATAGCCTTTAGGACAATGTTTTTAATCCATGGTTCATAGATTCCTGGAGTCCATAAAAGGTGACTTTGCAGTTCGAGGGTAACCTATTTTGATATAAACCTGGGCTATGACAGACTTCTGACTTTTGTAGCGGCAATGCTACTTATGTAGTTCAGAGAGCTGGTCTAAAAGTGACCCAACAGAAAAAATGTAATTAATTTTCAGCCAGGTTAACTGCCTGGAAAATCTGACACAACGGTGTGAACATTGGGGCTGGCCCATGTGATGGACAGGTACATATGCTTGGGAGAGAAGGACTGGAAGGACGATAATGAGGTAGGTGGGATCACAACAGCCTAGACTGAAATCAACATAAATTGCTGTTGAGCAACACTTTATATAAGCAAGGTCACGTGGGCTACACAGCATTTGACATTGCCAAGGGGGACTGTACCTCTGCTGGAGACTGTTTCAGGTCCAGAAATCAAAAGCGGCGCTGGAACTCCGAGGGAAAGGCATGATTTCTGAAACTTCATAATCACCTCTTCTTGGCTTGATATTGAAAAAACTTGTAATTGGAATGATTTAGTGTAGCTGTGAAAGCAGAAAGGAGAAGAGGAGTTAATTAAAAAATATATTAAAAAACTCATAATGTATATTTTTAAGTCAGGAAAATTCAAATAACTTTTTCTCTGAAGCCCAAGGCTAGGATGATAAGTTTCAAGCTATAACCAGTCTGCGTGGTATTGAGTTTCAATAATACATGTTCTCCAGAGGGGTGTTATCCTGACGTGTAAACTAGAGAATGAAAATCTTACTCTGCACAACAGACACTCAAAGTGCCTTTCTCATGCTGGGTAGCCAACTTCTTTGGGGTTTTTGTGTACAATAGAGCACTGTTCAATATGAATAGGGCTCTGGTCCCAAGAAGCCCACAGCAACCAAAAAAGTGAAGCCCCACTGAAGTACAGCCCTTCCCGTTTTAATGTGTCACTTGCTGGTGTGACAGGGCTTGAACTTCAGCTCTTGAAGTCACAAAGCATCAGCCCCAACTTCTTGAGCTAAAGCACTGTTGGGAGTTTCACTATGAGAGTCAACAGAGCTGGAATGTTATTCCCATTCTGTAAACACCAAGAAGTAGGTAAGTGTTTGGCCACCCTCATTCATCTTCCACGTTTTGTTTCTGCGCTGGTGTTGCCAACGTCAGCCAAAAGTGAGGCAGCGGAGAGGCAACTAGAAAAAACAAACATGATTGAGCAGTGCATCTTGACTGTGGACTGTGCGGAAAATCTGGGATTGAAAGGAGCATGAGTCGTTCCCTAAAAACATTTAAAGGATGTTAGCCAAATTTCCTGAACATTAAAAGGAATCTGGCTACTGCTTTGGGCATTTGAGATTACTCTTTTTTTTTCTTTTTCAGTCAGAGAGGACTTCTATGCCCACAGTGATGATGTTTTATCTATCCGTGTGTCCATTCACCCAGCCAAGAACAGAATTTGGAAATGGGAAAATTATTAATAACTATTATATTTTTCAAATTGATATAGTTTTTGGAATATAAGGGGGGAGACATAGGCTACCTCTGGTTGGAAGACTGCTCACCTGCTGTTTCTGTCTCCCAGTTTTAATGTGAGAGATGATGAGTGTTACCTGTCTCCTCTGGGTTACACTTAAGTCACTCTTCATACATTGCAGGTGTATGTTCTCTCTTGTATCTTCAGAGGATGATATAATATATAACGTTTGTGTAATTGAAGAAATGAGTTATTGATAACAGCTGAAGTTAGATCAAGTAGCGTTTTGGGTCTACAACAGGATGTTCTTTTCAGAGTTCAAAGAGAAAATGTTCCAATTTGTCATCCGACTAGAGAAATAATGGTAATTATTATTTTAACTTCCACTGGGACTTATATCATGCTGCATGAGCTCTGCATACCAAAGAGGGTTGATGTATGCTCCAATCTGAGTTTCTTTATAATAGAATACCGATGCACCACAAAACTGTGATTTTTTTTGTTTAAAGGTATTTTTATTTTGGAAGGATCATGTTTAATGCATTTAGGGCCATCTTTTACAAAGGGGTATTAGTGGTTGTGATAACACCCATATATAGATTTATTGCTTCATGTTATGTTATACCCAGCTGAATCAGTGGGAAAGAGAGCTTTTGGGGGAAGCTGCTGATGAAATATTTAAGAAGTTTTTATTAAAATTTTTCTGGAAGGTAATAGCGACAATGTTAAAACCTCCTTGAACTTAACCCATTCTCTAAACCATCGAGTTAATCACGGGAAGTAGGAGTGGGAGTAAAGGAGGTTGTGCTTCACACCAGGACAGCACAGGGGCTGGCTGCACAAGTTGATGTCACTGGCTTGAGGCTGGGATCAGACTTTTCATAGGGAGGGATGGGAAATATGCCAGACCACGGATGGAAAGCAAAACAGGCCACAAATTCATGGAAAACCTCTTTCCTTTCTCCTCTCTAGCAAAGGGAAAGGGCTATGCTGTGGAGTCCGTAGGAGGGCCCTAAAAATAACCTCTCTTTTTTTTATAAAAAAAAAAGTGGGTTTGTTAGACTAGCGGGGTTTTATTCTTTCTTTCCCTTTTTCATTTTCTTTTTCATTCTCTTTTTTTTTTTTTCCCATGTGTGCCTCAAGGCATTTACTTGTCATCCATCATTAGCTTTGTCTTAAGAGCTGCCGTCTGTGGGCATGCACTGCATCAGTGGTGTTCAGACAAAAGTGGAGAAAGGTTTGCCCAGCCTTGCTTTGACAGGTTCAAAGTGAGCTACTCCATCACTCCGGGGATGGAAGGAGCAGGGGCAGGAGTGGAGAATGGGAAGGCAAAGCGAGAAGTTCTTCCTGATGTTGTATGGCTTGGAAGAAATATTCTGTGAAAGAATCTGTTCTTCTGCTTCCCAGCCTGGGATTGTGGAGCAAGGCACTTTTTTTGTGTGTGTGTGTGAAAGAATGTAATTATTGGTTTAGTAAAAAAAAAAAAGTGTTCTTTTCAGAGAATTCAAATTGCTTTAATTAGCAGAAAGATACATACAGAAGGGCTTGGGTTATTTAAAAGGCACTGTGACAAGTCAGTCTCTTGTGCTAGCCCTATTTTTAGTGTTATTCTGATATCTTTTTCTCTAAACGTTGTTCTTTTCATTTAAAAAAAATGCAGGGGTGAAGCGGGGAGGGGGGGAGGAGATTCGAATTTCAGGTTAACACTTAGAAAACATTCCTCTTTGGGCTGGCTTCCCTGAGGTGCCCTCACCATCTGGGAGGTGCCCTCCAACCCTCTTGAGGCAAAAGGAGCTGAGCCTGCTCAGGACCTTGCAGGAACGGGTCCTCCGTGACTGAAATGGGACACTGAAGGCCGACTGATCCGTGTGTGAGTCTGACTGGGCAGCGGAGCAGCCCTGAGACAAATTCCCTTCCCCAAAGAGTCCTTGCTACAGTGGCATTTCCCTCGCAGCGCCTGCCCTGGCTGGTGCGTCGGGGCGAGCAGCCTGCCCGAGACAGATGCTGTTCCCAGCTGGGAACACAAAGAAGTGAACTGTGATCACTGAAAACAGAGGCTTTTTGCGTATTAGCAAGTCCTTTTTGCGTGCTGAGCTGCTGTAACAACCAGCCTGCTTTGCACTGTCACCCTTTCCCTTCTCCTACATGCATGTGTATGCATGTGTGTATTTATATATATATATATATATATAAATATTAGGGGATATATTTTATAGCTGAAAATTTCAGGACCCTGTGGAAACAGAATTTCACATTGAGAAACACCAAGAGATTAAAAATTAGGTTGTTTGTAATCAATAAAGATAGATGGGTAGTTAAAAAATAAAACCAGACACAAATAAGCCATGCAAACTAAACTGCATTCACCTTACTTGTCAGAACTGCTTCCGTGGCCGTTAAATCACAGACATTTTAAAACCAAGCTTAAAATTAATTCTCAAAATTGTCATGCAAGCCATCTGCATTTTACATTTTTTTTATTTATTTTTACTCGCTGTGAGATTGGTATCACTGTACATCTACCTAGCAATTTACATGTATTTTATTTGAGTGGAGTTTGATGTCTGTTATGATGAAAATGTCAATGTTCTAATGATTAAATTGATTTTTTTTCTCCCCTTTTCCAGAAACAGCATAGCTGCCTCAGCAGTGTGTGCCTTCAATCTGAGTGCCATTACTCAGGCATTTAATGGCCCTTTCCGTTACCAAGAGAACCCAAGATCAGCCTGGCTGCCAACATTAAACCCCATCCCTAATTTCCAGGTACTGCTGCTGCTCTTCAGTTTTCTCCAGTCCCTTTTACATTCTGTCACTCCAGTGGGTTGATTTGTGTGGGGCCCATTTTTCCAGGTAGACCCATGGTGCAGATAAATTGTATTTCTCCACATTTATGAGTGCTTTAGTCTGTGGAACTCCTTGCCACATGTTATGGAGACCACAAGATTCATGGCAAAAATGGAATGGTTTTACCAATAATGAATGTTCAGATTTTTTTTTTTATAATAATGAATAATTTAAATCTCTGTTACGCTCATCACTGATACGTGAACTCTGAGAATGTGATCCTCACAAGGGGACATAGAGACACATCCCCACCAAAACTGAGAAGGACTGAAAGCTGAAGCGGAACAAAGTCAAACTAGAATGGCGACAACTTATATTTTTAAACAAGAAAGGTAATTAACCACTCTGGCTGTGTAAGGATGTGATGAATTTTCCATCACTTGATAGGGCCCCTAAGGCTACCAGTGTTTCAGTGCAAGATGGATGTCTTTCTGAGACATGGTAGCTCAGCCAGAAGTTATAGACACAATGCAGCAGTAACTGGTGGAAGAGGACACATGAAGATGTGGTTCCTTCTCATCTTAAAAAAATCTTTTTTTTAATGAAGGAGCAGTTTTCCAGGATTATGAGTTAAGGCCAATTTGAAAATTATAGAACATCTTCAGTCACTTTATGCCCAGATACAGTCAGTGCAGTGCAGAGTATGTGTGTGACAGCCCCAGCAAACCTGAGTCTTCTGAAGTGTGAGCCCATTTTACAGCTCAGTCCCTTCCCAGCTGGGGAATCCTAGGGAGGACGGACTTGTCTTCCTGTCCTCACTTCCCCATGGTGAATCCTTTCAGCCCCATTGTGTGAATCTGGCTCTCCTTTATTACGGCAAAGGTGCTGAGGTTGCCTGCAAATGCCATCTGCCGTCAAGCTGGTGATGTCAAGGACCTTCCAAAAAGGGCTGTGCAGTCACCTGAAATCACAGCAAGAGCAGATGGGAGGCAGGCTCACGCTGCAGGCAGAGATGTGCTTGGGTTCCAGCTGAGGAACCTGATTTCTCCCCCTGAATTCCTTCATGGCACCTGAGTGAGGGCTCCTGCCTGTACAAGGTGGGACAGGATTGGGCTCTCAATCACCCCCTCAGCTTGGTGCACTCAAAACCAAGAAACAAAGCTTTGCTGAAGGCCCAGCCATGCCAAGCATGGCCAGGCTTTTTTTTTTTTTTTTTTTTTTTTTTTGAGTTTAAAGAGAGTATTAAGGTTAACTGAGAATCAAGGGCTTTCTGTCTCTTGCCTGGCTAACCCAGAAGGAATAGAAAAGGACTTTGGAAAGCATTTCCATGTAGTGAAAAGTATCAGATAAAATGTGGAGTGCAAAGATTGCAGCAGCAAGATGAAAGAAAAGTCAGAGGAAAATAAGGAAAGGAAAAGGAGGTATGTGGCGGACAAAAGGAAGATTGCAAGAAGAGATTAAGATGTTTTTCAAGTACAGGAGGTCAGTGAAGGGCCTTTAGGAGATGACAAGGGTAATTTAGCGACAGAAGAGGCAGATATTGCAAAAAAAATTAAATTAATTTTTTTGCCTCGGTGTTCACAAAGGAAGATGAGGGAAGGATGCCAGGTGTTTTTTTTTTTTCCTTGCAGAGACGATGGAGAAATACTGAAGGATATAGAGGATCAGGGCAGTGCAGATAATCAGGAAATTAGAACAAAACAAAATAAAACCAAGCCAGAGGGATGCTGTGTCAGCACATGGGCTGCCAATAGACCAAAAGGATTATCTGTGACTTGAGAACAGAAAACAAAACCAACAGTGACATTCCTGCCACTGGGACTCCTCCTTCAGTGATGCTCTAGAAAGGAAAGTGAGTGGGGAGAAAAGCATCCAAAGTAAGACAGTGGTGTAAACCAGGAGTATAGGAGATGGCAGAAGAGAGAGATCTAAAAACTCTTCAGAACTTGGGATGAGGCAGTCGTGAAATTAAAAAGACCACTGCAGTAGAAAAAACATTAAAAGCCACTTGAGGACACATCAAGAATCTCTGATGTTTACTTAGTCTGGCTACTCAGGTAGATGCTAAAGTTAATAAAAAGGTGGCCATGTTCATAGATGGTGGGAATTAGTACCACCCTGTTCCTCTAGTTCACACAAGCTCCAACATATTGCAGGGCTTAGTACACCGGCTGTTAGGATCCGCATTTATTGTGTACATGTGAGCTAAATTTCTGCCAGCTGATTTTAGCACGTCATAAGAGAAGCTCTTCATGGTGCACCTCAGAAAGGCAGCCACACTGTAAAGAGTTGCTCTGATGCATTGAGAGTATGCGCATGGGAGATTTGTACACTGGAGCTGGAGTGCTGTAAATCGACATCCTTATTCACAGTATACTAACTTCTCTTCCAAGGAAAGTCCAAACGCCTGGACCCAAAATGAAGGAAAAGAAATTTGTGGGGTTTTTTTCTAGTGAAATTACTCAGATGTGAGCATCACTTAGGTCATCTCTCTGGACTTCTGTAAGGCATTTAATATGGTGCCCCACAACATCCTTTCTATGTTGGAGAGAGATGGACTTGATGGATGGACTTTTCCGTGGATGAGGAATTGGTTGGGTGGTCATGTCCAGAGGGTAGTGGTCAACAGCTCAATGTCCAGATGGAGATCAGTGACAAGTGGTGTCACTCAGGCATCTGTACTGGGACCAGTACTGTTTAATATCTTCATCCATTGATGAGACAGGCAGCAGGATTGAGTGCACTATCAGTAAGTTTGGAGACAACACCAAGCTGAGTGGTGTGGTTGACATGCCTGAAGGATGGGATGCTATGCAGAGGGACCTGGACAAGCTCAAGAAGTGGGACCATGTGAACATGTGAACCTCATGAGGTTCAACAAGGCCAAGTACAAGGTTCTGCACCTGGTTTGGGGAAACACCCAGTACCAATGGAGATTGGGGGATGAAGGGATTGAGAGTGGTCCCATGGAGAAAGACTTGGGGGTACTGGTGGTTGAAAAGCTGGTCATGAGCCGACAATGTGCGCTCACAGTTCAGAAAACTGTATCTTAGACCACATAAAAAGAAGCGTGGCCAGCAGGTCGAGGGAGGTGATTCTGCCCCTCTACTCTGCTCTGGTGAGACCTCACCTGGAGTAATGCATCCAGCTCTGGAGTCCTCAACACAGGAAAGACATGGACCTGTTGAAGCGGGTCCAGATGAGGGCCACAAAAATTATCAGAGGGATGGAACGCCTCTCCTATGAGGACAGGCTGAGAGAGTGGTGGACTAGATGACCTTTAAAAAGTTCCCTCCCCTTACGATTCTATAAATAGTGAGAAGCAAAGTTGTCCATGGACTGAATATAGTAGTTGGCAGGAATTCTAGCTGCACCACTGACTCCCATGGCTTTGGGTAGGATAAATTATCTGTCACCCCGCTGTCTTTTGGAGTGATAAATCTTCTGCCCACCATGCATGGTATCATGGGGAAGAATGAAGATCCATCCCTGGCTACAGACATGGACCCCAAAACTGCATGGAGAGTATAATCTTGCAGTCTTTTGAAAATGCTAGATTCTAGAGATTAGTGTGAGATAGAAACTCAGGCCATAAAATGCATTGTCCATCTGGTAGGACTTACAGACAGCAAGAAGATGAGCTCTCTTCTTTCCCCCAATTCTGTATGGACAAGGGTGCTGAGTCCTGCATCTATGCACCCCTTGGTGCTGGAGGATGGCTAGACACCGGCTGGCCTGCCCTTTCCTTGGGGGGTAGAAGGGGGGGCGGGGAAAAAAAAAACCCTACCTCGCTTAAGATGAAGCCAGAGGGGTCTGTACAAAAGGGAGCGCATAAGAGAAAAGCAGGGTGGTGAGTTGAGTTCTTGGATGCAAAATCAACCTGGTTTTCAGGTTTTTTAACTTCCAGTTTTCATGCATTGTACAGACTGAGATGCTGGGGTAGAGTCTGAAGATGATTTGAAATGCTTCAAGGATTACCACAAAAACTTTCTTTCCACTACTAGCTTTACATCTTTCTACAGCTAGCTTTAATTCTTTCTTTTTCTCCTTGGTTGGTTAATGCCTTTTGCCCTTCTGGTGTGCTAGCTCCAGGGTATCACACGGGAATGAAACACTGCATCACTGGTCAGTGGACCAGCTGGGAGAAACATTTATAAAGAGTGGGCTACAGGCCAAAGCTAGGCTAAGGACCTAAGATCAGGCTAAGGGCCTGATCCTGTGACCCCCACACAGACCCACCTCTGCAGGAAATCAACAGGACATGGGTTTCCAGAAGAATTTCAGGTTTTGGTCTTGGGCTGCTGGAGTGGGGAGAAAATGCAGGTGCTGAAGTTCAATCTTCCATGTTTAGTGTGGGACGCTGAGTGATGACAGCCCTAACGAGAACCTGACGGAGAGAGTCCTGCAGGATGCGCAGCGCTTGTTCCTGATGAACGATGTCGTGCAGCCGGTGACTGTAGATCCATACGTGACTCAGGACAGCATTCGATTTTCCAAACTGGTGGTTGATATTGTTCAGGGGAAGGATACTCTCTACCACGTGATGTATATTGGGACAGGTAAGAGCATCAGGGCTTAAGAAAATTCCCTCCACTTGCTCATAGACCTATCAGCCCTAGTAGCCTGGTCGTGACATCATTACACAGTTGTCATTCAATATCACTTTGGCACAAAACTGCCTGGAAATTAGTTTGCCTGAGTAAATTAAAAGCAGGATGGAGGACTTGAGGCAGAGTCCCAAGTGAGCAGACCATAAATCTACATTGTGTTTAAAAACAACAATAACATTTTTCTCCCTTTTATAAAAACATGTTTCAACTAATCAGACTAAAACATAACAGTGGGGAAGAGCAAAGGTTGCTGAAACGCTCTGTGGTTTTGTGCACGTAAGTTGCCTCTCTGTGCTATGACACACTCATCTCTAAATAAGCAATAATAATAATTAACCTCTAGGCTCGCCCAAGGTTTTAATTATTTCTTTCTTTGCACTTCCGCGTGTCTACTGGTGTATGACTCCCAGTGCTTTTGGGAATGGGCACGCACTGAAATGTAATGCAGATGGGGAAGCTGAGGCAAGTGCTTTTTTGTGGTAGCATAGTGAGCCAGTGGTAGAATTAACTATATGATTTAGTCTCTTGATTTCTACTGCCATCCTCTAATTAGCAGGACACATTGCCTCTTCTGAAAAGCACGGGTATCTTGGATAAATGAAAGATGCTGAAGAAGGACAAAGCGTTATAAATGGTTGTCTTAGCCCATATTCATACTAATGATAGAGGTTAAATTAAATAGTTTGCTTAATCAGAGTATATGGCCAGCCTCATGGGTATAATGTTGTTATCCTCTATTGCAGAAGCTTTGACTTTAGAATAAGATGGATTGCCTCCGTAAATGTTAGTTTAATCTCACATCTGAATGCAGAGTCATTGCCTCATTCTCATGTTACCACCTTCCAGGACTCTATCATAATTTATCTAACTTTTACCACTACTTGCTTCAAAAGTGATCATCTTGGATGTGTTTTAGTACCATTGCCACTGTGGGAGCCTCCATGGACATTGATTATGATGAGAAGATTGTACTTAAATGGAAATACAACATGGTTCTGCCATTTTGATATCTTGACATTTTAAGTGAGGAGCTCCAGCTACAAAGCCTAAGAGCAAGCTGGGATAATTTCCGCCTCCTATCATTTCTGTAGAAAGGTCCATGGCCATAACCTTACCTCCTTATTTGTGTTTGTATTCTGCCCTGGTTAGTGGAGACTGAAGAGTAAGCTCTGATGGACCTGAAACATTTAAACCAGTCAAATGCTTCAGCAGAGACAGCCCTGCCCAGAGACAGTCCAGAACACAAACCCAGTCCTGAGACAAACTGAGCCCAAACTTGGGCCTCAGTCTTGTTCCATACTTAAGGCCTTCCTAAGTGAAAGAGAAGCTTTGCATGGTAGACAACCCCACCACTGTAAATTGCTGAGCTTTGGCACCAATACCAAAGTTATTGGGCTAGAAAGATTAAGCTTCAGGAACAATTGGGGCTGACAGAGCTCTTTGGGGTTTTAACAAAAAATGGTGTGGTTGCCCCATTTTCCCCAGCATAAATCTCCCACGTTTACCAGATCTTTAAACTGTTTAGGTAAGAGCACTGTGAACACAAACATATATGTTTCTGTGTATGCATTGCTTATGCCATAACATCAACTTGTCAAGCTGGCAGGATGGCTTCTTCCAGGAAGAGGATCAATTAGATCCGTGACCCATGCAGTCATTACGGAGGCCTCTGAGATTTCCAGCAGGGCTCCTGCATCTGTTGTCATTTGTCATGGCATCAAATCACACTGATCTGCTCCATAAACCAAAAAAAATATAGACTCGAGGCACCAGAAATGATCCCTGCTATCTCAGGTCACCTTGCTGTATAACACACTGGTAACGGGACCAGAGTCTTTTCTGGGAAATTTTTCCAGGTACTCGCTCTCCAGATGGTTCACATCCTTCTGGTTTCCCATTAAAATGCATTCACAGATGGTTTCTGTAATGTTTGAAAACTGCTGAGGATTGTAACCATGTAGCTGGAGCGCTCTCTACCATGGGCAGCAGATGACCCAGATCTAGGTTTAAAGCAGATGTGTAAAGATGAAATTAATATTTCACTCTTTGGGCAGGTATGAAATGAAGTCAATGCCTCCAAGATTTACTTGTGCCTTGTTTCTTGTTCCATTAGAGTATGGCACCATCTTGAAGGCCCTTTCTACCACTAACAGGAGCCTGAGGAGCTGTTATTTGGAGGAAATGCAGATCCTCCCTGATGGACAACGGGAAGCAATCAAGAGTCTCCAAATCCTGCACAGCGACAGGTCACTCTTTGTGGGCTTAAGTAATGGAGTGCTAAAAATTCCTCTGGAGAGATGCTCCATGTACAGAACAGAAGGGTAAGCAAATTTACAGCTCTGATATATTCCACTTCAGCCTAAAAAGAAAAACATCAGGGAAACATATTCCAGACTGATTGGTTTAGAATGTTTTTTTTCATCACTGCAAGACAAAAGACACTGTCGGAAGTGCATCTCCTGATAGATATGTTCATGACAGGAGCAATGAGAATGAGCATTTTTTTTTTTTTTGTAAATATTAATTGATCCTTATCAGAAATGAATTCTGTGTTTACCATGGAAGGACTTGCAACATTTACTTTTTTTTTTTTAACATGACATTTCAGTGTTGCTTTGATTAACTCCATGTATTTTGCTGGTGGTTCTTACTGGCAGTATGACTGCAGGTTTCTGAATTCGGGTTGCAGCCATCCTCTCCTGGCTTATCTGAGTGATCACTTCTCAAAAGACTGAGGCAGAGCTGGGCTGTGTGGCAACTTGTTACTGCTTTTGGAGCCCAATAGCTCATCTCAGCTATGTGTGATGCCTCTTATACCTGGACAGATTCAGTGCCTTGGTTGTACCTTCTAAAGGGAGTAGGAAAAAAAAGACTTTTTTAAATTGTCATTCCTGATTCTGGGTGGAAAACCGCTCTGGAAATGTGGTTTTGCATCCAAATAGTATCCCTCCATTTAAGCAGGTGAAAGTGGGATACCAACTGATTGAGGCATACGCTCAAATCAGCTCCCTGAGTGTGTTGTGGGGTCTGCTGCGGCTAACTGCTTGTTTACATCTCCTAAAAACATCCTTCCTTCTCTCTTGCTTTTGCCTTGCTTTCCTTGACAAGAGTTTTGTCTGAAACTGATGTCCTCTGCGCTAGACGAGAGGAAGGAATTTGTTATCAACCTCTAAAGGGATTCCCTCTTTCATGGTCTACTGCAAGATGTCCCTGTTCTCTTGCCAAAAAAACTGATATCAAAAATGTCACCATCATTTTATTTTCAACAAGTAGAGTTTATCTATCAGCTTGTACTAAATTAATGTCTGTCTAAATATAAAAATGCCAGCTCTTTCAGTTTTTGCTGAACCTCTTAATTATCCCTTTCGGAAGATACAACTTGGTCATTACTGTAAGCTTGACACAGAAACGTTTAGTGTGTAAAGGTTTAGTTGCTTACACAGACAGGCTGACACAGAAGTGTTTAGTAAGAGAAAGAGAACCACAGCTGGAAAAATGCCATCCTGTCCTCAGCCCTTAAAAGCAGAGAGATTAAAAAAGGTAGAGCATAACAGCTGTCCTCTTCAGGCCATCCTGGAGAGTTTCAGTTTGAGAATATTTATATGTGTGTATATATATGATTCAGTTTCAAGAGAAATGAGTTCTTCCTTTTCTTTCTTTCCTAATTTTGAGTTCAGCTTTCCGGTAATTTATAGATCATGTCCCACTTTCAGCCTGTGTAAGTACTTTGTATGACATTTCCATTAAAACTCAAATGGTAGAGGTTTGCTCAGCTGCCTAAAAAAGGGACAAGCAGGGAAAAAGCAGCAGTGGCTGGAGGGCAGGCGGGTGGGGGTACCTCACAGGAGCACCGAGGTCCCGAGGGCCACAGCGCAGTCCCTGCTTGTATAACCTTATCCCAGCAAAACAGAAACTTGGCTCCAAAGAGGTTCCCTTGCGTGCTGGTGGCCACAAGCAGCCTCAGTTTTATGCATTGTATGGCACTGAGTCCTCCTGAAATTACTGGGAAGCATGTGTACCAATGCTGGTTTTTATTAAAATGAATTTTCTCGAGGAACTTTTCAGTGAAACAAGGAAGCAGTCCAGCTCCTTGGGGGATGGAGACTCAAACTCTTCCTCCGTTGACTACTTTCACGCTACTTTTAGGCAGTTTAAGCTAGCCGCTGGGCTGTACCAAAGTACACAAGATAGGGTCTCCTGAGAGCGCGGTGGGTGCACACATTTGGTGATGTGGGAGGTCAGAATGTGTTGAATTCGGGTGCTGGCCAGGTAGAGTACTTGTGTACATTGCAAAGGATCCTTTGCAGCACGGCTGAGGCTTTTGGAAAAAAAAAAGAAGAAAACTTAGGAATGCCATGGAAGGCAATTATTTATCTAGTTGTTTAAAAGCATATTTCTGATATTATTATTAAATTTTAAGCAAAGCTTTTTTTTTTTGTAGGAAATTATTCAACTGCAAATTTTTCAGCTGCCAATGTTGGAACCCTTTTTCCCCTTAGCATCCCGGCTCTGTAGGGTGATAAGTCAACTTGGCCTCCTTTGTATTTCTTTCAACACTGAACTGTATCGAGAAGGATGTTTTAATTTCCTCCAGTGCATTCCACCTGGCACTTCTCCTGGGCTGTGATTTATTGCTTATTGTTGTGTCTATGTTTAATACATGCCAATATACAGCCACCACAGGAAGAAGGGCTCCTGCCCCTACAACACCCCCCGCTTACTTTTTTGTCATGCTGTGACTTCTTGACTAGCCTCCCTGAAAAGCTCTGGTTTCAGCAGTTTTTATAATCTAATCGTTTTGATGGGGGCTCAGGAAGCTTGGAGGTGATGGAGAATTTGTGCCTCCCAGGCAGGAATACCACAACTGTGTGTGTTTTCTTTGGCTGTGCCTCATACTATCAGGAAGCTTTGCAGCCTTTTACACCCTGGGGGCTGATGTGGGGTCTTGATTGCTGAGTTAGAGCTTTTGCCTTCACCCTGCCTTCTCCCTGGAATGGGCAATCATGTATCGAGAGAAAATTGATCCTAGCATTGATCCCCTCCAGTGATCCTTGCTGCCCTGCCGCTTTAAAACCTTGGGGCTTGGTATCGAGGCTCAGAAATGGGACAGAGGAAAAAGCAGCAGCAAAGGGAAGAGATGGAAAGGGAAAAGGATTTTCTGCCATCTCTTTTACTGTTTGTTTATTGACACGGCACCAATTTAATCTCTTAAATGGTGACCAGTAGCTCAGCCCCATGTCTTGATGTAGTTCGTTGACCCGATATATTTCTGGGTGTTTGAGCAGTGTTTTGTGTGTGCCCACTGACCTGTCTCAATCTGTCTTTTCAGAACAGCCAGTCTTAGCAACCGGGCAACGGGAAGACATCTGTAATGTCAGCTGCCCAAATTTACAGGCTGGAGTTGGCTGCAGGGACCTTGCCTTGTGTGTGTGTTTTCCTTTCGTGCTTCAGGGCTGCCATTCCCCACTCTTGCTGGAGACTCTTAGGAAGATGTCCAATGAGAGCAAAACCTACAAGCCCTTTGAACATGCAGCATGTTTTGAAGGCAGCTTTGCTGGGTGGTAGCTTGGCTGTGCTTGCTGCTGGATTTTGCATGGCTTTGAAATCTGTGTAACCTCCCTGCAATTTTTAAATGAGCTTGGAATTTTACCTCAAGTTGCCCCCAAGCTTTGGGGAGGGATATCTGGAGAGCTAGCACTGCAGCTTTATCACTGAAACCCCCAAATCTCTAGAATGCATCTGAACAAAATCCTGAATCTGAATTTTAGAGAGGTGAGGACTTTAGACCTGGACCATTATTTTCAGGTAGGACCTAGCTGTAGGGGTAATTTAGTAATTTTTTCAAAGGGTGGAGTGAGATTATTCATTTTATGAGTTGCAATCAAACAGGTAGGAAAATGAAGCTGGTTGTTGTAGGGAACACTTTGTGATCGCTTTGTGTTGCCCCATTGCAGCATCAGGGCCATGGGCCTCTGAGCAAACAGAAACCTGGAGGAGGGCCTTGGAGTGATTTTGCAGCCATTTTTTGATTATAGGTTCAAATGAGGAAAAGAAAATCTGTTTGGGAATGAGACCAGAGGGTCTCTTGAATACCCACCTTTCCTGCTCCCCCAGTCCCGAGCAGTTTATTTTAACATGCTTTATGTTGATATTCATTCTTTCATCTTCCTCCCTCTAGTTTTCTGCATAAAATTTGCATTTTGCATGATGCAGCTTGCAATTTTGGGATGTACAGTGGGGTTCTGAGAATAGTTTGGCTTGCCTGTCCTCTCCCTGCTGTGCTGTGCTCATGTGTGGCTCTCCCATCAGGTTGTGTGAGTGCCACCTCAGGTCAGCCTCCTGCCAGTGGAGATGCTCCTGCTTCCCAGGCTGTGGGGAGAGCCAGCTCCTCTTGCGTGCAGCTATGACACACTCCCATTTGAACACTGCCTGCTTTTTTGACCCGGTCGCAAGGAGCTTGCTGTTGAGTGATGCTGAGCTTTTGCCCTCCTACTTGGCCTAAATTCTGCCGTACATCCCCTCTGGCCATGGTGCTTAATGCAAAGCTAGCAGAAATGACTCAGCTGACATACACTCTTATTTGCTGACTTGAGATCTGTTCAAGAAACACAATTCACCTCTAAATAGCTCTGGGCCAGTGATCAGACAACTGAGTACACATAGGTGAGTAACTCCTGAAATGGCTCCGGGGAGTTTTCCAAAGAAGAGGATCAGCAGTAAAGAAGCAGAGAGTTTTCTTCCCTCTTTCTCTTTCCAAAGTGCAAAACTGGAGCTCCAAGCACGGTCCCTGTACCACATCCGCACTGTGCTTTAAGGGGGTTGAGATACCGCCTGGAGGATTACTTTGGTGGTTATTGTTATTTTCTCCTTTTATTTACTCCTTATATGGTGCAAAATCATCTGTAACAAAGGAATGAAGCCCTTGAATTTGGGATTGCAAAACCAGAATTACAGGATTACCAGATTTCAGGAGTGAAACTGTTGGGGAACGTAATTGGAGGAATAATATAGTTTGGGAAGAGATCTAAAAATTTCCCATTTTGGGGGAAAGACTGAACTGAATATGGGCTGGAAATCCTATGACCTCTTCATCATAATGATGATAGTTCCTCGAAGGACAAACAAGGAACTACTGTTGGGTAAAAACCACGGGAGAGAAAATGGCAAAAGAGGTAGGGGAGGGAACAAAGCAGAGATTGTTGTTCAGTGGGGCCCAGCATCCATCAGATCGCTGAGGTGACATTGGTAGCCAGATCGTTCATCAAAGACCTTGAAAATCCAGCCCCTTCTTCTGAGCTGAGGCTGTCAAAAATCTGGCCCA